TTCTTTCCTTTTTCTTTCTTCTTTTTTCTTTTTTCTTCTTTTCTTTCTCTTTCTCTTTCTTCTCTTTCTTTTTTCTTTTTCTTTCTCTCTTTTTCTCCTCTCTCTCTCTCTCTCTCTCTTCCTTCCTCTCCTCCTTCCTTCCTTCCTTCCTTCTTCTTCCTTCCTTCCTTCCTTCCTTCCTTCTTCTTCCTTCCTTCCTTTTTCTTCCTTCCTTCCTTCCTTCCTTCTAAAAAAAAAAAACAAACCTAAATGGTGGCCTGGAAATCATAGAGCTACAAGAGACTTTATAGATCTACTTAGCACCCACCCATTCCTTGCTACACTGCCCCTTTCTCCATTTAACCAATTTTAATAGGAAGATCTGAAGGTCAATAGAAGTTTAATTAATATCCTCAAGGTACATGGTAACACAGCTGGGAAAAAACAACAATAACAAAACAAAAAAAGTCTCTAGATTTCCATTGTATTTAGTTTCCAATTCACTCCCCTACATTTATTCCTGTTGAATCCATATTGTTGATATCTAGCCAGCATTCTATTCTGTCAAAATTGTTTGGGATCTTGATTTCATAATCTGGGATATTAGCTGTGCCTTCCAAGTTTATGTCAGCACCCTTCTACGTCAGAACATCATTGCTTTTGGACAAAGGCCATCGTAAAATTTTCAGATCTGGAAACAGGTTCAATGTATTCTTTAGGAAAAGGTTACCAGACTCCCAGAGAGGACAGTATTAAAGTTTCTGAGTGTAATGATATTCATGTTTAAGTAGATTTTCATGAGTAAAATAATCCACATGGCACAGTGGGAAGGGTGCTGGACGAAGTCAGAGTACCTGGCTCAGATCCTACCTCTGTCATTTGCTTGCCTGTGAGACTGGGTAAGTCATCTAACTGCTTTGGGTCCAAGTTTCCTCATCTGCAAAACAAGGGAATTAGATTAGACTGTCTTTTTACTTCCAAATCTATGATCCCATAAATTATATCCCAAATGCAACACAGTATCTAAAGTCATTTTAAAAGCTAGAACGAGCTTTCTTGTTGTTGTTCAGTTGTATCAGACTCTTCCTGACCCCATCTGGTGTTTTCTTAGCAAAGATACTGAAGTGATTTGCCATTTCCTTCCCCAGGTCATTTGAGGAAACTGAGCCAAAAAGGGTTAAGTGACTTGCCCAGGGTCAGACGGTTAGAAAGTATCTAAGCTAAGTTCAAGAAAAAGGGCTTTTAAAAAGGTTTGTGTTGGGAATAAAAGTTGAGGTTCAAAAAAACAGGATAGGACTGGTGCTTAGGAAGGATGATAATAGATAACTGTAAGGAGGTTGAAGCATTTAAATCATTCTGCTTCTGGTTTCTCTGCCAAGAAAAGCAATCTTTTGAACTATCTTTGGGTACTGAATAAGCTAACAGATGTAATTATTGAGGCTCTGGTAGTGATCTCTGAAAGATCTTGGGGAGTGAGGGAGGCCTGCACCATAGACCTGGAGAAGGATACATGTCATGAAGTGAAGAAAGTGGAATATGCAAATTATATACTAGTAAACTTGATTTCCACTCTTGAGAAAATTCTATAACATATTGTTAAAAGGAATGTTTGTGAACATTTAGAAAGGGAAGCAAAGATCACTAAAAGCTGGCCTGACTTCATTAGAAGTACAAATTTCATTGCCTTTTCTGACAGGGTAATGGGACTGGTAAATCAGTTGAATGCCATAAGCATAATATACTTTGAATTATCTGTGGTTTTGTGGAGAGAGCTCTGGATTTAAAGCCAACTTCTACCCCTACTACTTGTTGGCCTCTCTGATTTTCATCAAGTGTTTATGCCTTTCTGAGTTTCAACAGCATATATTTGTTCAACTACAGGCATGGGGTGCTATGGAAAAACAGTATTAGGGGGTTGAAAGTGATGAGGTTTATATATCACCTCTGACACTGTCTATGTGGCTCTGGGCAGTTATTTCATTTCCCAGAGACTCTGTTAACTCATCTGTCTATGTTGTCTGTCATATGTTTTGATGATACTATATAAATACATAAATTTATGTGTGTGTGTGTACATCCCCCTAAATATATATGTGTGTATATATATATATATATATATATATATATGTATATATATTTGTTCAGTCATTTCGGTCGTGTCCAAGTCTTTGTGACCCCATTCGGGTTTTTCTTGGCGAAGATACTGGAGTGGTTTGCCATTTCTTTCTCCAGCTCATTTTACAGATGAGGAACTAAGGCAAATAGGGTTAAGTGACTTGCCCAGGGTCACACAGCTAGTGTCTGAGGCCGGATTTGAACTCAGAAAGATGAGTCTGATTCCAAGCCTACTGTTCTATACACTGTGCCACCTAGCTGCCCTGTCATAAGTATATATTTATGTATATTTATGCATATGTATAATCTCTATAGGGGTGTGTGTGTGTGTGTGTGTGTGTGTGTGTGTGTGTGTGTGTGTATGTGTATAAATAAACTATACCCTTCCAAAATCATATCCTGGCCATGGCTCTCATTCCACCAGTGATAACTATGAGATCACATTTATCTCCTTTTAATAGGATCTCTAGTTCATCTTGCTTCTTATTCATACTTTGTACATTTTTGTATATGACTCTAAAGTAACGGGTTTTATTGCTGGCTCCTTTCTTTATATTTTTGTCTCCTGTGAATTTCTGTGCATCTCTTCCATCAAATGTGATGACACTTGTTAAAGTGCTATATAAATGATCTAGCTATTATTATGAAGATTAATAATAATGCTATTTATTATTATTGTGTAATTCTTTTCCCTCCATAATAGTTGCTATTTATGATATCTACCTCAGTAGTTAGAAGTAGTTTTCATTCTTCCCTGTCTTTTCAGCTTAAAGCTGTTTTGATTAAAGTTGCAAGATTCCAGGCAAATTTATTTTTCTATCCCTTGTTAAGAGCACTTCATTCCTGGTTAAGAGCCTGTCATTCCTACATTCATGATCTGGGAATACAAATTCCATTCTCAAATACCATCTTAAACTCTTTGTTCACTTCAAAATCTGTCTTTCTCTTTGGAAGTTCTTACCTTCATTTTCCAGCAACAATGAAAACACATTGTCCTTTCTTTAGTTTCTTGTCTTGATTTCAGTCCCTATGTGAGTATGTGAGGCAAAAGTTTCTAGATTCTTGCTGAAAGTACCATTTGTCCACATGTAGATAACTAGAAGTGAATAGGAGTCAAGTTTCTTGTTTGGGGAGATAAACATATCCTGGATACAAAGTACTTCTATTATTAATATTATAAAGAGTACACCATATATAATTGCAATATTATTAATTTTAGATAATTTGAAAATGACCAAATGACCATTTAGCTGTAGTTGGGGAGGGTGTCCATTTACTCATAACAGATCTTTTTTTTGGGGGGGGGTCCTGAGGGGTAAATGTTAAAACATTTTAAAAAGCTATTCTGGATTATTTCCAAATTGGTAATTTGTTGTCTATCAACCCAGTCCTTATACCACTGCTTCACAGAGTTTGAGCCATGGAAAAGTTTTAAAATAGGAGAGATGAAGTGGCCACATTTCATGTGGTGGAGTTTCTTTATGGGAACTATAACGTTAGTGACTATAGTGTTATTTCACTGAAAACTTTGTGGAAAGTGTTTTATTGATATAATTCCTAGGGGCCTTAGAAGGAATAAAGTAGAATTACTGGGAAGTCTGGCAAGATAGTGAATAGCTTGTTTGTACTTATTTATTGGTTTGTTGTCTCCTTTGTCAGACTGTAAACTCCTTGAGGGCAGGAACTGTCTTTTGCATCTTGTTTGTATCCCTAGTGCTTAACACAATGCCAGGATCATAGCTAACAGTAAATAAATGTTTATTGATTTACTGGATTATCTCTTGGGATATATAAAAAGAGAAACTTTTGATTCCCCTCAACTCCTTAACCTTTGACCCCCTAGAATGGGAATTACTATTACTTTCTTGGGGTTGGAGTAGGTCCCACTTCCACTGCTTGGCAAATGAATGATGGGGGAAGAAAGGAGTCGCCTGTCAGGGGCACGCATTCTTGGCATTCCAAGATGCAATCCCAAATTCATTTTCCACAGGATCATTATTAAACATGGCAGTTAGATTCTATAGTATTACTACTATACTTCAAAGTTCTTAATGAATTAAATAGTCTTTTGAGGGCTGGCCTGAGCTTTGTGTTATCTAGAGGATCGCTATTTGCTATTATCCGTGTGTGTGTGTGTGTGTGTGTGTGTGTGTGTGTGTGTGTGTGTGTGTGTGTGTGAGAGAGAGAGAGAGAGAGAGAGAGAGAGAGAGAGAGAGAGAGAGAGAGAGAGAGAGAGAGAGAGAGATGAGATCTCACATGGCTTTTGCAAACAATGGAGACAGATTTTTGTTCAGCTTTCCTGACAGGTTGTATTTATGGCCGTGATTGAATTAAAGTACATTTGCATTATTTCTCTAACCTTCCCAGAAGGAACCTTAGGTGCTAATAGACATTCTGTCTGCAGAAATTAGAAGAGAAATTGCTTCCATATTCAGTAGCAGCCATAGTTTTCATCTGAAGTAAAATTAAATATTCATTTGTGTGATAACTTAAAAGTAGCAGCTATATATCAGTATAGCAACATTCAATGTTCCCTGTTTTTTGTTTGTTTTTTGTTTTTTACTGTTAAAGTTTACACCTTCTATCTCTTCAAATTCCCTGGCTTTGTTGGTGACTGGATGTTCCTTCTCTTTTATAAGGGATCAATGATTATTTTGTTTGCTGTTCCAGCAATCTACTTTAATCTACTTTATAGCCAGGTATCAGAGAAAAATCATGTTCTGTTCTGCAAAATGAGACTTTTCATCCAGTAAGTCCCCTTTTATTCTGGCAACTTTTAAACATCGGTCTTGAGACAGGTCTTGCTGCTGTACTGTTAAGTTACACATCTGGTTCTCACTACTCATTATCCCTTATGTATTCAGAATACCTTTCATTTATTTAACTTTTATATTTGCTACCTATAGGGTGCTTTCTAGCATGACAGATGCCATTCTGGCTCGTGTATATAAACACTCTGATTTGGACCACTTGGCCAAAGAAGCTTCAGTACCAATAGTCAATGGGTTGTCAGAGATATACCATCCTGTCCAAATTCTGGCTGATTACCTCACTCTCCAGGTATGCTGCTATTTAAAATATTTATTTGTGTAGTCTTCAAATGAATTATTCCTCAGTCACTTGAAACCAAATACATAGGATTAAAAAAGGAAACAAATTATGTTGAAATATATTCATCAAAAAATTAAGCAAAAGAAAATAAAACAAATACTTGTTCACGGATTCCAGGTCAAGAACCTCTGTCCCAGTATGAAAAGAACCTCTTTGGTGGCTTTCATCTCTCTCCCTTCAGACACAACCCCCCTAAAAAGATAATTCAAATACCAGTAAACAATTACTTTGTTATCAGTGGCAATATAAAAAATAAATCTTTGATTTTACTAATGAGGATATAAAAATATTTGACTGCTTGGGTTGAATACAAGCATGATATAATACTGGATCTGAAGGAACTGGCCCTGTTACATACTACTAATGTGACCTTAGGCAAAACACTTAACTTGAATTTCCTTATTTGTAAAATGGTTGGGTATGATGATTTTCCAACATCCTTTATCGCTCTAAATCTATAGTCCTTGAACAGGTGTTAATGTTAATATGGGCATTCTATCCAATCTGATGCCATGTTTGGAAGGAAACTTAGATAGGATGTCAGTCCTTTTGTGAAATGTTTATCTTTGAAGCAAGTTAAAATGACTCTAGAGTGGTGCAATTAACATATTTTAAGGGGGTGGCCCACCTTCTTGAATCTTAAAATTCATCTAATTCATAGCAGCCACTTGTTTCTAGACATGTAACAGCTGGAAAAATCCTGAAATACTTCTGTGATTGCTCATGGGCTGCTAAGATGACTTCTAAGTAGAATGAACCAAAAGTTCCCATTGTAGGACTCATTTAGCAAATGAAAAGAGGAAAAACTACACCTGTATTAGTGTACCTGAAGTTTGTCTTGGGCTTTCTCCTGTCTCCATTTCTGTCATCTCTACTGCTGCCCACCTAGATGCTGAGAACTTCTAGGTGCCTGTAGTGCCCACTATGGTATACTGCCACAGCCTTCCCTGGACCTACTATTGCAGAATTTTCTTGATACCAATTTAGTTGTCTGATGCCCCATCTCCTCAGGACCTCATGAGCTAATCTGATGAACCAACTAATGATAATGTATTAATGACTGATTATGGAGGAGCACAGCACCTTCCCTTGGGCTGTTTGGACAGAAGTGTATGCTATTGTTTAGGAATTATTGTTTAGGAGCAATAAGTGATGCTCAGTTAAGGCTAAGGGGATTTAGGAGAACTGAGTCTCTTCTCTTTTTAAAATAGATTTTTAATGATAACTTTTTGTTTTTACATCACCTAGATTTCCTCCTTTACTCCTTAATCCTCTCCCTTCCAAGGAGCAATCCCTTATGACAAATGCCTTTTTAAAAAAGAAGAGAAAAAATTCAACAAAACCAACCAACACACACACACACACACACACACACACACACACACACACAAATATCTGGCTTTATAAGTAGTGTTTCACACTCATTGATGCCCCACCTATGCAAAGGAGAGGGGAGATGTCCCGATGTATCTTCTCTTTGGAGACAAGCTTGTTTTTTGTAATTTTGTAACACTTCTTTGATTGTTCTATGGTTGCTATTCCTTCCAATTTCATTGTTGTAGTCATTTTGTATATTTTCTTGGTTCTGCTTATTTCATTTTGCATCAGTTCTTTTAAGTCCATGCCTGTCTGAAGTCATCATTTCTTATAGGACAATAATTATTACATTATATTCATGTGCCATTATTTGTTTAGCCGTTTCCCAATTGATGAGTATCCACTTTAGTTGAGAGGCAGCTAGGTAGCACCATAGTGCATAGAGCACTGGGTCTGGAGTCAGGATGTATCTTCCTGAGTTCAAATCTGGCCTGAGACATTCACTAGCTGTGTGACCCTGGGCAAGTCATTTAACCCTGTTTGACTCAGATTCTTCATCTGTAAAATGAGCTGGAGAAGGAATGGCAAACCACTCCAGTATCTTTGCCAAGAAAACTCCAAATAAGGTCACAAAGAATCAGACACAACTGAAATGACTGAACTACATCAGCAATAACACTTTGGTTCCAGTTCTTTGCTAACACAAAAAGTGCTGCTAGAAATATCTTGATGTATGTGGAGCCTTTCTTTTTGTCAGTGACTTCTTTGGAGTATATGCTACCAGGAGAATCTCTGGGTCAAAGGAGAATAAGAGTACATGGTACCTGAGAGTCCTCCAAAAGCCACAGTGTGATTAACAACCTGCTATCTCATAAAATCAATCAAAATAGTATGAAAAAACAAGAGTGATGTTAGATACGGGAAAAAATACACAACCCTCTTGTTAGTTATGATCAGGTAAATTGAGTTATGACTGTAAGAAGAGGGGGTTATTTATCCATATCTAATTGAACCATGATGGATTGTGCTTTGATGCCATGATTCTCCAGGGTGCAAAGAAGCACATTAAGTCATAATCTGGAGTGGAAAAGAACTTGTGCAGGGTTCAGACTACAGAAATAGTTTAAATAGTACTCCTTTTGCACCAAGAATAGTGAAATGATAATTTTGTGATTTAACTGTTCTTTTTAATCTAAGATATGGAGGTGACCCTTGTTTTCAGAGACTATCAATAGCTGAGCTTCCAAGTTAGAAATATTTCCAGTATAGACCTGGTAACAGACTAATATATTGTATGTCTGTTGTCTGAGGACTAGCTTAGCTAAATTCAGAAAAGCTCATGTCTGCAAAGTGATAAGTTGTCAGCCAGGGCAACTCATGAAACCTTCAACTAAGGCACAGAAAGGCTGCAATCTGCAGTAGCAGAGTGAATGCCTATATCATGGAATTTTTAAAATTTGAAATGACATTTTAGAGTATGGGTCTTGATATGGATGTGGACAGTATCTTGTACCAAGTGGTTAAGATCTGAGCAGGAAATGTTTCTTCTATTTTCAGGGGGAAAGGTAAAGGAAGAGAAGGAAACGTAGCATTTCAAACTGCTGAGTTTCCCTATGTCTTCTCCTAGGTGTGGTTTGTTATTCACATCACTTGTTTTACAGGAACATTATGGTTATCTGAAAGGCCTCACGCTTAGCTGGATCGGTGATGGGAACAATATTCTACACTCCATCATGATGAGTGCTGCTAAATTTGGAATGAGTCTGCAGGTGGCTACACCCAAGGTAGGCAAAGATGTCTGCTAATGGGAGGGGAGGATGATTTGTTTTTTTAAAATAACATTGGAGCAGCTAGGTGGTTCAGTGGATAGAGTGCTGGGCCTGGAGTCAGGAAGATGTGAGTTCAAATCTAGCCTCAGACATTTACTAGCTGATACCTCAGTTTCTGCACCAATAAAATGGGGATGTAAATAGTACTTATTTAAGTCATTTAAATTCTGTAAGCTCTGCATGAAGAGGTTGAGCAAATAACCTCTAGCTCCCAAATCATGCAGCCCTATGCTTCAAATTTGTATTGGAAAAAAAGAATATAACAACATGTAGTTGAATAATAATAATTCACACCTATATAGCACTTTAAATCTTGCAAAAAGAAGTACTTTCTTCACATCTCTGTAAAGTTGGTAGTGTGAAATTTTATTATCCCTATTTTACAGATGAGAAAACTGAGTGTGAAATTCTAAGAGACTTACACACATGATCACATTATTAATGGCTGAGGCAGGATTTAAATCCCAATCTTCTGACTATACCTCAGCTCTCTATCCACAAAACAGGCAGTTAGGTGGTGTAATAGATTGAGCCTAAGGTCAGGAAAAGCTAAGTTCAAATTCATCTTTAGACACTTACTAGCTGATGCCTCAGTTTCTGCATCAATAAAATGGGGATATAATTAGCACCTATCTCCCAGGGTTATTTTGAAGCTCAAGTGAGATGTTTGTAAACCTCTTTGCTAATCTTAAGGCATTGTACAAATTTTAGCTATTATCACTACACCAACCTGACCGTTACCAATGGACTCGATGGGACAGAATTATAGATGGACTACATGAACTGCAGGACACCCACAAGGATAATAGAAAGACATGCAAGACATATAATGGAGGCAAATGGATTGCATCATTTTATCCAGTGAAAAGAAAAGTAGTGCAGTGAAAAGAGGTCTAGGTTTGGAATCAGATGGCCTGAGTGTGAATTATTCTCCTCCATGCCCCCTAGAACTCTCCCCTCTTCCTAACTTCTCTATTACTGATGGAGGTACCACTAACCTCCTAGTCACCTAGCCCTGCAACCTAGGTGTCATCCTTGGTTTCTCCGTCTCTCATCCCCATAGCCAATAAGGTGTCTCATTTCCACTTTTGTAATATGTCTCATACGGTTTCCCATCTGTCCTGATACTGCCACTACACTGGTGCAGGTCTTTATCAGCTCACACTCTGCTCTACTCAGCTACTGAAGTGATATTCCTAAAATGCAAGTCTGATCATATCATACCACCCACTCCCACCCCCCTGGGCCCCTCTCCCACACTCAGTAAACTAGTGGCTCCCTGCTACCTCCAGGTATCAAATATCAAACAGATGCCTGGTTGTGAATTATTTTTCCCCCTCAAAATCTCCACATTTCCCAACTTCCCTATTATGGTTGTGGGGTACCACTAACTTCTTAGTCACCCAGCCCCACAACATGGGCATCATTCTTGATATCATATATAAAATCCCTTGTTTGGCTTTCAAAGCCCTTCATAACCTGGGCTCCTTCCTGCCTTTCTAGTCTTCTTACATCTCACTCCCCTTCTCCCCACCCCCACTGACATAGTCCTCCATCCAGTGACCCTTCCTTCCTGTTTCTTGCACATGACACTCCGTTTGATATATGAAATATAGTTCAACTATATGACTCCAAATATTTTCACTGTCTCTCCCTGATGCCTGCAATGCTCTTCATCTCTGCCTCCTGGCTTCCCTGGATTCTTTCAAGTCAGCTAAAGTTCCACCTTCTGCAAGAATGCTTTTCCAGTTCTCCTTAATCTTGGCTTCTCCACCACTGCCCCCTTCCCCCCACCCCTCAATTTGTTTTGTATATAGCTTGTTTGTAATAAGTTGTTGTATGTAAGTTGCTTCCCCTATTAGACTGTGAGCTCCTCAAGAGACTGGGTTTTTGTTTTTATTTATTTATTTTTGGAATGGGTATTTCTTTGGTTTTTGTCTTCTACTTTTCTTTGTATCTCCAGAGCTTAGGATATTAGGTGCTTCGTAAATGCAGGACTGACTGATCTCTACCTTCTGCGATTCTAAGCTTTCCTCAAGGCTTTCAGATTAGGTACCACCTCCTAATCCATATCTTTTCTTTTATGTCCCTGAAGAGAATGTAAACTCCTTAAAAGCCTAGTTTTCATTTTTTTCTTTGGGTCCTTGCAGAGTGCTTTTCACATAGTACATACCTAAGAAATGCTTATTGAATTGACAAATGAAAAAAAAAGTTTAAAAGTAATGAAGTGCAGCCGTTTCTCCCACCAGCACTGCTGTCTACACTGGGTACATGAATTGATTCCTTGCAAAGTTGCATAATTTAGCTGTCATATAGCTACAATCTTTGCCACAGCCTACTGTGTTATAAAAAAAAGTTTTTAAAAATCCCCACTGCTCTATCTAGAATAGAAACTCATCATTCTTTCTTGAGGTCCAGACATTCAGTCACACATGACAGAAAATGTGAAGTGTATGTAATGTTGTACAACAGTTGAAACTGAACCAAGATAAAAACAAGTCCCTGTGTCTCATCCTCTCTCACTATTATCCCTGCGCTAACTGGGCCAGCACAGTAATGACACCTCGTTGTTGAGTCATTTCAGTTGTGTCCGACTCTTCATGACCCCATTTGGGGTTTTCTTGGCAAAGATACTGGAGTGGTTTGCCACTTCCTTCTCCAGCTCATTTTACAGATGAAGAAATTGAGTCAAACAGGGTTAAGTGACTTGCCCAGGGTCACACAGTTATTAAGTGTCTGAGACAAGATTTGAACTCAGGTCTTCCTGACTCCAGGCCTAGCACACTATCCAGACAAAATGAGGAATGCACCTGTTGGAAGCTTCACAGTCAAAGCAGGTTTGAGAAATATCTAGGTGATGCTCCCTATACTATCAACATAAACTTAGATAAATGGTAGAATCTGGATTTGCAAAGGCTTGTGAGGGAAGCAGGGGACAAAGGGGGGAGTACAGGTAAGGATAATGCCCATATTCAACATGAAGGAAAAAATGAAACTCATTAAAAAGTCCTTGGAAGAGAACTACTGCTTAAGTGTAAGATTTATTATTAGGTTTGTTTTTATTGATAAAATATACATATATAATATTTATTCTCATGGATAAAATTTATAAAATGCTTTATTTGGAAAAATTGGAGTTTAAAAATTTTATTGGATGTCAAAGGTCTTTTATTACTATTGAAAGGAAAAAAAAATCCTGTATTAAAAATAATTACAGCACTGTTCTGTGGCAGAAACTCATTTAAATGATAAAGAACATTAAAAAGTAGCTAAATCTTTAGCCAGGAATTTGGGTGGTTGTTGTTGTTATATTTGGTTTTTGTTTTGTTTTTTTAATCCTCTGGAAATTCAAATAGTGCTGGAATGGCTCCATAAATTTGTGAGGCAGCATTTATTAGCAGTTCTGCTTTCTTTAAAGATAAAGCCAGAAGATTTATTGCCTTACCAAATACTGAAAGGCCTCTATGACCATAATTAATCTACCACATTGCATCACTCCAACTTAGCATAGCTTACATTGAAAAGCAAAACAACTTAAAAAGTCATTTTGTTAGGGGACAGAGCGCCAGCCTCAAAGCCAAAAAGACCTGAATTCAAATTCTGCCTCTGGTTCATGCTAGGTGGGTGTTGTTGTTCAGTCATTTTCAGTTGTGTCTGGCTCTTCATGACCCCATTTGAGGTTTTCTTGGCAAAGATGCTGGAGTGGTTTGCCCTTTCCTCCTCCAGCTCATTTTACAAATGAGGAAACTGATAGATTCAGTTTAACTGAGATAGAGTTAAATAACTTACACAGGGTCACATAGCTGCTAAGTGCCTGAGACCAGATTTGAACTCACAAAGATAAGTCTTACTGGCCTAACGCTCTATCCACTGCAGCACCTAGCTGCCCCTTACTGACCGGGTGACCCATAACAAATCACTTTACCTTTGCTTGCCTCAGTTTCTTCATCTGTAAAATGGGGATAACGATAGCACCAACCTCTTAAGGTTTTTGTGAGGCTCAGTTAAGGTAATATTTGTGAAGTCCTTAGCAGATGTTAAAGTCGATATAAGTGCTGCTTATCGTTATTATAATTATTTAACATATAATAATTATATGGCAATTATATTATTAGTATTAGTATTATTAACCTTCCAATCTTCTAGGCAACTCTCTAAGATCATAAGTTGCCAGGAATGTGCTGACCTATATCTGTAGGGGGTAGTATCCATCCTCCCCTTAGAGTTCCCTATCTCAGTGAAATCAGAGGTCCAGTCCATATCCTATGCTTTTTAAACTTTGCCATAACCTATGACTGATAGCAATTTTTATATTATTGTAAATATGGAAAAGTTTGACATGAGCTTGATAATTCTTCATCTGGTGACCTTCATCTGCATACAAGGGTCAGTAAAGACTTCAGCTTTCCAAGATAGAGTATGAGAACTTCTACTATTGATTGTGTTCTAAACCACCTTGTGTTGGATGGTTTTCCCATTTTCAAACCTCTTCAGCTGTTCTTGGAACACTTATTGATTCTCCTCTTGGGATGATCAGTCAGCTAACAAGCATTTTATTAAGTGCCTACTCTGTGCGAGGTACTGTGCTATGCCCTAGAAATATTAAGAAAGTCAAAAGACAGTCCCTGAGGGGCTCAGAGTCTAATAGTGGAGAGAACATGTAAACAAGTATGAAAAACTATATTCAGGATAAATTGGAGATAATCAACAGAAGAAAGGCACTGGTATTAAGGAGGGACAGGAAGGGCTTCTTGTGGAGGGTGAGAGTTTATCTGTGACTTAAAGAATGCCAGAGAAGCCAGGAGTTTGAGATGGGATTCCAGGCATGGGGGTTGGCAAATGAAAATGCCTGGAATCAGGAGATGGAGTATCTTATGCAAAAAACAGCGACAAGGCCAGTGTCCCTGAATGGAAAAGCATGTAGGGGATGTAGGGTGGGCAGGAGGAGGAGGAGGGAGAGAAGAAGAGCCAGGAGTAGGAAGACTGAAAAGGTGAGTCGGTCAATAAACATTTATTAAAAGCCTGCTACATACCAGGCATTGTGCTAAGTGCTGGCAATAGGGAAAAAAGAAGGCAAAGACATTCCCTGCTCTCAAAGAGCTCACAATTTAATGGGCAGAAAGGCCAGGTTGTGAAAGACTTTGATTGCTAAAGAGAGGATTTTATATCTGATCTTGGAAGTGATAGGGAACCTTTGGAGTTTTATAGTAGGGGGAGAGGGGTTTGGGATGGGTAGTAGGTGATGAGATCAGACCTAAGCTTTAGGAAGATTACTTAAGCCCCTGAGTGGAGGATGGACTGACTAGAGTGGGGAAGAGTCTTGAGGCAGACAAACCAATAATCCAGGTGTTAGGCAATGACAAGGGAAGCTAGATGGCACAGTCCTCTTCCTGAGTTCAAATCTGGCCTCAGACAATACCTGTGTGACCCTGGACAAGTCACTTAACTGTTTGCCTCAGTTTCCTTATCCATAAAATGAGCTGGAGAAGGAAATAGCAAACCACTCCAGTATCTTTGCCAAGAAAACTAATTGGGTCACAAAGATTTGGACAGGATTAAACAACAGTGAGGTGGCGGCAGCCTGCATTAGAGTGATGGCAGCATTGGAAGACCTCATTTCACTTCTTAACCACTAGGAACCTTTTTAATTCTACTCCCTTCAAAGTAGTCATTTGTTGATGGGAATCTCTGTAACTGTTTTGTGTCTGTACTTCCCAATCATATTATCACCTTTGTTACTAAATAAAAATAAGCAATTTATTTTGAAACATAGCCTAGAATCAGGCTGGTGTATTAAGTAAACCTCTTGTGGAGGTTTTAAGAAGGGGGGGAAAATTAACACAAGCTAGTAAGAAAAAGCAAAATGTTTTATCTTTTCAATCTAGGTGGGCGAACCGGCTCATTTTTTAAATCATCTATAAGCAACATTAAGGTTAGAAAAACTAAAACTATAGTATCTTTTATATTAGAAATAGCCAGGTTACTTGGATTTATCTTACTCATCAAGTGTTTTAATAACTTATTTGGAGTTGTTGTTCAAATACTGGCATGGTTTGCCATTTCCTTCTCCAGCTCATTCTACAGATGAGCGACTGAGACAAACAGGGTTAAGCTACTTACCCAGAATCACAGAGCTAGTAAGTGTCTGAGGTTGGATTTGAACTGAGATCTTCCTGATTCCAGACCCAGTGCTCTATCCACTGCTCCACCTAGCTGCCCCTTAATAGTCATAAGCTACAAAAAAATGTGGTAATTTATAGCATCAAATTCGAAGTTCACACTTCTTTCTTACAAAGAGTTTATCCCATTTCATCTTACTGGGGAGGACTGGACCATTATGTTTATTTACCTTGTTCAAAAGAATCATGGAATAGGTCATTCGTGAGGTGAGTATTTACTTTGATGCCTAATCTGTTTTAATCCTTACTCCAATGAAAGATGAGTTCTTAGGAAACCCATATGTGTCTCACACACACACACTCACACACACCTGCAAACTAACAATTCAATCTGTTTTTTTTTTACAGGGTTATGAACCTGATCCTGGTATCACCAAGCTAGCAGAGCAATACGCTAAAGAGGTATGATCGACTTATATGACTATCTATCTGTCTATCGATCTATCTATCTATCTGGCCTTCACATTTCAAGGATCATTGTTTAATCTGCTCATTCATCTATGCTAGCATGGTACCAAGTTGTCTCTGACTTTTGATCCAATGGAAGCTGCACGAGGGAGCAACGTCTTAATCACCGACACGTGGATAAGCATGGGACAAGAGGAAGAGAAGAGCAAGCGGCTACGAGACTTTCAAGGTTACCAGATAACAATGAAGGTACAAATCGATGCTTCTCTCTAGGTTCGTTAATTCCATTTATAAAGGCAAGAACCATAAAATTACTACTTCACTTTGGATAGAACAGGGTGTCTTTTTCCTCTCCACAAAGAACTCTTTATCTGTCCTTTCTCAGTTTAGTTGTGCCCTTTGCAAAGAGATTTTTGCGATGGATGCAGCAAAGCTGGGGCCCAGACAGTGGGGAGAATGTTCACAATTTTTTAAAAAGTGTCATTATAAGGCATTAGGAGACTGAAAAAAGATACATCAGTGGTACTTTCTGAGCCATATAATTTCTTGTAATTTTCCTTTTGTTATAGCCGTATTCTATATTATATCTGCTTTCTTAAATCCTTGTGTATCAAAATGGATTATTCCAGGATCATTCCAGGAAGTGGAATACTTTCAGTTGCATGCCTGATCTAATCTTGGAGTATTCCCTAAAGATCTCCAAGGAAATCTAATGCCAAGTTTGGTGAACGGATCTTCCTTGAAGGGATCAACATGGCATCCTAGATGTAACCTCCAGTAGACCTCAGATGTTATCCAATACAATCAACTCCTTTTATGGACAAGGAAACTGGTACCCTTTGTTCCAGGTCACACAGGTAGTTAAATAGGCAGAGCTGGGGCTTAAGATCAAAAGATTATAGAACTAGAGCTGGGAGTTCTTTTTTATTTTAATATTTTATTTTCCCCTCAATTACACGTAAAAACAATTTTAACATTCTTTTTCTTTTTTCAAATTTTGAGCTCCAAATTCTTTCCCTTCCTCCCTTCCCTTCCCCCATATGAGAAGGCAAGTAATTTGATATAGATTATACATGTGCAGTCATGCAAAACATGTTTCCCTGTAAGTCATGTTGTAAAAGAAAACAGACAAAAACAACAAGAAAAATAAAGTAAAGAAAAAGTATGCTTCAATCTGCATTCAGACTCCATCTGCTCTTTCTCTGGAGGTGGGTAGCATTTTTCATTATGAGTCATTGGAATTGTCTTGGATCAGCGTATTGCTGAGAAGAGCTAAGTCATTCATAGTTGATTATCGTATTTTGTTGCTGTTACTGTGAATAATGTTCTGGTTCTAGAGTTGAGAGTTCTTAATCTTTTTTTTGTGTCATGGACCCTTTGTCAGACTGATGAAACCCATTCAGAGAATAATAATGTTTTTAAAAATATATATAAAATAAAATATGTAGGATTACAAAGGAAATCAATTATTTTGAAATACAAATGTAATTGTTTTCCAATTTTATGGTCCTCTTAAAATCTATCAATAAACGCCGGGGGAGGGGGGGTGGTAGGAAAGCATAAGTCCCAGATTAAGAACTCTTGATCTAGAGACCTAGAAGTATTCTCAGAGATCTAGTCCAATCCCTTCATTTTACAAACGAAGAAAGAGGCTCAGAGAGATTAAGTGACTCCAGAGCCTGGGTTCATTCCACTATTCTATATTCCCTCTCATAAATCTTTGTTTACATATGGGGAGATCATTAGATGACCCTATTCCAAGCTGGCCACAAATTCCAGGGGATCCCTCTGGTTCTGGAACAGAGGGTTTGAGGGATAGAAAAGCACAAGATTTTAAAACAGGAAGGGATTTTGATGACTATCTAGTGGTCCAACATCTTTCACTTTACAGAAGATGAAACTGAGTCCCAAAGAGTTGACATCACTTGCCTATGGTCCCACAATTAGTAGTGGAATCAAGATTAGAACTCAGGTCCCTTAATTCCTAGGTTAATATTCTTTTCATTTTTCTCTATATGTTCAGCTTAATGCTATATAAGTTGTGCGTGTGTGTATGTGTGTGGGTGTGTGTGTGTGTGAGAGAGAGAGAGAGAGAGAGAGACAGACAGACAGACAGAGAGAAAGAGAGAGACAGAGAGAGAAAGAGGGAATGAATGAAATATCCTTTTCTACACCACTTTCCCAGTATTTCTGGAGACTCAGGAAAAAAAGTCTTGAACTTGGAGCTAAAGTAGTAAGACTGTGTAAATCTTAATTTACATAAAAGCAGCAATTATAGGATTGGGAGAGATGGTAAAAATGTAATTTTTTTTCTCATGTAAGGGAAAAGCAAAGATAATAGCTGTTAAAATGTAATTTCCAGGAAATAACTACTAAATAAAATTAAAATAACCAGTATGAAAATGGAAAACAATCAGAACTATAATCTAAGTACTCATTTTCTGAATTATTTTAACTACTATATCTAAATGTATGTAAAAGGCTAGAATCAAATATTTAGAGATTAGATCTATGCAGGATGACCAAAACAATCTTCTTTGGATGAGCTTTGGATATGTCTCTTGCAATTGGTCATATATTTGTTATCGCTGTTCAGTCATTTTCATTTGTGCCCAACTCTTTGTGATCCCGTTTTGGGTTTTCTTGGTAAAAATACTGGATGGGTTTCTTTAGCTCGTTTTTACAGATGAGGAAACTGAGACAAACAGGATTAAGTGACTTGTCCAGGCTCACACAGCTAGTAAGTATCTCAGGCCACATTTGAACTCAGATCTTCCTGACTCCAGGCCCATCTCTCTATTCACTATATCAACTAACATTAGCCATAAAATCATCTCCTCTAACAGAGGACATATCATACATTTTAGTGATTTAAAACTTTCCATAGGAATAAAGATAACTCACTTACTAAATCAACAAGAATTTACTGAGTACCTGTTATGTGCTGGGCATTGTGCTAGGTATTTTGAGTTAGACAAAGATAAAAATGAAACAGTCCTCAATCTCAAGGAGCAAATTAAAAGTACACACACACACACACACACATACACACACACACACACACACACACACACACACAAGATTCAGAGATCTCCTTTTTCTTAGAGACACTTCCAGCCTTGTGTGCTTATTGAATGTTAAGACCAGATCTTAAGAAATTCAAATATACCTGTCACACAGGACCTGCTCAGCCAAAGTATGCTGAGTTCTCATTTACCATTTCCACCATTTTTTTTTCTTAGACAGCTGGAGTTGCTGCTCCCAACTGGACATTTTTACACTGCTTGCCCAGAAAACCAGAAGAGGTTGATGATGAAGTATTTTATTGTCCAAGGTCACTTGTATTTCCAGAAGCTGAAAACAGGAAATGGACAATCATGGTAAGAAGTAAGCTGAGTTTATTTAGCCTAAGGGTTGATGAGATAGTCACGCACTACCTACTAAGTGTCAGAAGCAACATTTGAACCCAGGTCTTATTCCAAGTGTATTACCATGTCAGGAGTTCTCAACCTATCCATAGATTTGTAGATAGATTTCAGGGAGGGGGCTGGAGTCCACAACAGAAAAAAAAAATGGATGGAAAAAAATAACATCTTTAGTTTCACTCTGATTAATTTCCATTGCATTCTTATGTATGTTATTTATACATTTGAAAACATTCTGTTTAAGTGTCCAAAGGCTTCACAAAACTATCAGAGGTCCATATTATATAAACAAATTAAGAACCCTTGCATTATACTACACAATTATACTATGTTGTCTTTCTCATCCTAATGTTATAATCAAGATATAATAAATGCTCAACTTGTGCCACTATCCCTCTTTTTGGAACTAAATTTTGGATGCCCTTGCATGAAAGGGAGAATTCTGGTATTTTAAAGTTCTAAATGTATGCACTAGATAACAAGGATAATCTTTTGTTCTTGCTGGTCTTAGACACAGATAATTATTTCAATTCCAAAAAGTAGAATGTGTGCCCTAACCACATTAGCTCTATGATGCAAGAAGAGACATAATAAATGCTTTTGTTTTTGTCAGAAAATAATTGGAACACCAATGATGATATAGCTTTAATGATCTTTTAACTTTGTCTTCCTTAAAAGTTCAGAAAGGAATTTTGGAAAATAATAAGCATGCTGCAGTAATATTTATATAGAAATTGGCTATTTTTAGCAGGAGAAATAACATATTTAAGCCCTATTGCATTAAAAACATTTTTAGTTAATTACACTTGGGAGAAAACATGGCACCCCTGATTCTTCTCAGCCCTGGTACACAAAACCACCACCAGTACTAGCTTTGCTAAAAATTTATAGGTAATAGTCTAAGGCTCAATTCTAGCTTCTCTGCAGAGGTAAACTCTGCATGTAGTCTCATTTGAACAGTAGGGGAAAACGGAAGAGAAATCTCAGTCTGAGCCGCCATGCTGAGATACCTCTCCTAGTTAATACATGGTATTTTGTAAAAAGGTGGTGAAGAACTGATTTTCAAGCACTTGTAACTGCTTTAAAGCAAAGTTGCTGACTTGACTGCATAGCTGGGCATGATTGGGCACATTCCATTCACTGTACTGTAAACTGTTTTGCCCCAACCATGATAATTTATGCTTTTTCTCTCTCTTCTCTCTCTCTCTGTGTGTGTGTGTGTGTGTGTGTGTGTGTGTGTTTGGGAGTGTGTAAACACAATGTAGTTTTATTGATCAATAGCTAGTCCATATTCTAACAGACATATTGTCCTCAGCTAAACAAATCTTTAGGGTCATTTGAGGCATGAAAACTTACAGTTTTTTCTTATACAATGAAAAACTTTGACCTTTTGACAATTTCCCTGCCAGTATGGTGGAATGGAATTATTGCTGGGTCTTAAACCAGAGGATATGGATTCAAATCCAAACTCTGTATGACCCTCACTATCTATATAACGTTGGCCAAAGTTTTTCCCTTCTCTGGGCCTCATTTATATTTTCCTCATGCATGAAATGTCAGAGTTGATCTAAGAATATTTAAGTTCCAGTCCTAAATCTTTGATTCAATGAGACAGACTATAACTATCCCAAAGTGGTTATTAACCCCACATAACATCCTTATTCTCTAACTAGAGGTTTCAGACACATGGCCCATGAACCACATGTAGCCTACAACATTCCTGAGTGCAGGCCAAACCAGACCAAAATGTAATTGGGAAATATTGAACAAAATATTGAACAAACATAGATAAAAATTAAAATAGAATAAAGCATGAATACTATGACATTTTAAAACAGAGTCAGTATGTAGCCCCACAGAGATCATTGTGTATGGATTAGTTACCCCCATCTCTATTTGAGTTTGACATTCAGTGCTCTGAACCGTAACACATCTCTTTACTCTTTGAGGTTACTTGGCTTTTCCCAGTGATGAGGGAAGGCAGGCATCTCCCTGTCCCTGAGGTACAGAAGAGGGCAGAGTCAGCAGTCCTGACAGAGACCTCAGATAGGTTTGTTCCCTTGCCAGCAGATTTTACTGTGACCATGAAGCATAAGGCAATTGAACAACCCAGTAGAAACCTAATTCCACAAAGTGTCAAAACCACACAGCAACATAGTGGAGAAAATCAGATGCATTTTATAGAACTCTCCAGCTGCTTATTTCTGAAGCCATTAAAAAATGTGAGATGTGATTCTTGGGACTAATAAAAAGAGGCTATATATTTCACATAATGTGATAGGCAGGTCACCCACAAAATAATCAACTTGTACTAATACTTTAAATATATTATCCTATAAGATTGTTGCCATTTTAATAAAACATCTCCCCTATGAAGTTTTTCCTAATCCTACATTCAATATTTTTGGTGTCACATGAAAAGAGTGATGAGTTTGGAGTCCCCAGGGACCTGAGTGCAAATCTTGTCTCTTCCATTGACTGTGTACTTCAGGCAAATCACTTAACTTTTCTGAACTTGGTTTAACCATCAGTAAAATAAAGGGGCTGGACAAGATGATCTCAAAGATGTTTCCCCAGTCTGGAGCTATAACCCTAGGATACAGAATGGTGATGGACCACTGAGAATATCTAGTCCAATCCTCTCATTTTACAGATGAAGTTGTTTTTCAGTCATGCCCAACTCTCCATGACCCCATTTGGGGTTTTCTTGGCAAAGATACTGCAGGAGTTTGCCATTTCCTTCTCCAGCCATTTTACAGATGAGGAAACTGAGACAAACAGGGTTAAGTGACTTGCCCAGGGTCACACAGCTAGTAAGTCTCTGGGGCCAGATTGAACTCAGGAAGATGAGCCTTCCTGACTCCAGGCCTGGTGTTCTATCCACGGTGGATGTCTTTGTAGATGAAGAGAGAAAGGTTAAATGACTTGTCCTAAGTAATATGGGTAATAAGTGGAAGAGCTGAGATCTAAATGTGGATCCACAGATCTTGAATTAAAGAGTTATTCCACCATATAATGCTATCACCTATTATTTGGCTATGTGCCACTCAAGTGTATTTGTCTTGTGATATTTTATATTATTATGCATCATAATTATGACTATGTCTTATGGCAGCCAGGTGGAACAGTAGTAGATAGAGTGCTGGACCTGGAGTCAGGAAGATGAGTCTTCCTGAGTTCAAATCTGACTTCAGACACTTACTAACTCTGGGACTTTGGGCAAGTCACTTAACCCTGTTTACCTCAGTTTCTTCATCCGCAAAAAATGAGATGGAGAAGGAAATGGCAACATTTCTCATCAAGAAAATGCCAAGAAAACTCCAAATGGGATCACAAAGAGTCAGACACAACTGAAAAATGACTTAACAACAACAACTTATCTTATTACTAAATTAAATTCCATGAGGGCAAGAATCATGTCTTATCTGAACTCTGTTATCTCCTGCAGCACCTTGAACACTGCTCTACAAACATTAAGTATTTAATAAATTTTTAAAACAATTTAAATGCATGTAATTTTGTAAGGAACACAGTATTTTGGAAGCATGGGCTTGCATCCCAGCTCTGATTCAGTCAGCTAGGTCTCACCATGGATAGAGACCTGAGCTTGCAGTCAGGGTACATGAATACAAAACCAGCCTCAGACACTAGCTGTGTGACCCTGGGCAAGTCACTTAACCTTTGTCTATCTCAATTTCCTCATCTTATAAGATAACAGCACCTACCTCCCAGGGTTGTTGTGGGGATCAAATGAGATCATATCTGTAAAATGTTTAGCACAGTGCCTGATTCATAATAGGCACTACAGAAATGTTTGTTCCTTCCCTCTCTCTTTTTTTAAAAATTTGTCAAATGAGTTCTGGATTAAACCATCTTTAAAATCCCTTGCCAGCTCTAGTTCCTTGTGATTCCTCTGAACTGAAATGAAAAACATTCACTTTTTTTGTTAAGTCATTTTTCAGTCATGTCCAACTCTTCATGACCCCATTTGGGGTTTTCTTGGCAAAGATACTGGAGTGGTTTGCCATTTCCTTCTCCAGCTCATTTTACAGATAAGGAAACTGAGGCAAACAGGATTAAGTGACTTGTCCAGAGTCACACAGCTAGTAAGAATTTGAGTCCAGATTTGAATTCAGGTTTTACTGACTCCAGGCCCAGCTCTCTCTCCAACGCACCACCTCATTAACCTGCTGCTCCCCTCAAGGAAGGGGTTTACAAACCAAGAAAGACATGGATAAACAATTACAGAGAAAACACAGGAACATAAATGTTAAGCCAAGACATGAACAGATAGATTGTGTATAGGCCAGGGATAGGTGTATATTAGAGGTTTGAAGACAAAGAATTAAGAGGTGACTGAGGTGGATAGCAGGGAGAGGAGCCTTCCAAAATCCTTGTTTGGTGGAGGCCGAGTGAGGAGGGGCAACTTTTCGTAGGAAAGCTGACACTAAGTGCTGGTGAATTGCACCTGGCATTTATATAACACTTTAAAGTTTCCAAACATTTCTACATGTGCCATCTCTTTTTACCCTTGCTATAACCCTGGACTAGTGCCCCAAATCACAAGGCCAGAAAGCCTCAGATGAGGTCTCTAACCCAAGCCATTCGTCTGCCTCATCACTCTATATACAACATGATCGCCCAAACCCAAGAGGCTTGCCAACTCCAAGAAAATTTGCTGATCCTCAGCTGATTCCCCTCAAACTTCCCTTGATCTATACTGGCTATAGTAAGTACCACGGTAAACAGTAGGCATGTGATGACCCATAGAACTTCACCAGACAATCCCTTGGATACCCTCAACGTTGCAAAAGTCACTCCTGGACAGCACTCTAGCAGCTGCTTTTTCTCTCCTCCACTCTAGAATTATTCCTTAGGAATGACGTGGATTGCCTGTGTCACTGGGCTAGTCTGCTGCGTCTTGACCTTTTCTCATCTGCATAAAAGCAAATGTAGCACAGAATCATCCCTTTACCATCTCCGATGTTTCAGCATCTTGACAAAGCACAGTCTGAATTGGGATTTGCTTGAGAGAGCTCATTTTTACCCCAGCCCCATTTTCCTCCCTCCACCTGGTTCTTGTGCCACATTCATTTCTGATGTGTATTAATTTCTTTCTTTCTCTTTTCTTCTCCACCGCAGGCTGTCATGGTTTCCCTGCTGACAGATTACTCACCACAGCTGCAGAAGCCTACCTTTTGATGCTTCGGCTCTTTCCAAGGGGGAAAAATATTTTGCAGCAACAGTATATTCTAGTCCATGGGGAGGTGGAGAGAGAGGAAGAAGAAGATCAAAGAATTGACCCATTCCCTAATGTAGCCAATAGGTAGATTGTACAATATTGCTTTGCCCTTGTGATCCCATACAATCCCATACAATACTGAAGCTTTGTCATTTGCGCCTTTTTTTTGCCTCGTTGTTTAAAGCTCAATAGGGTTTGTGTTTGCTTATACTTTTAAACTGTCATTTAGCGAATGAATTTGAACATTCATTTAGCGATTGTTGGGTTTGCCACTTCAGCATAAGAAAACAGAACTCACAAAGCAGGCTATATGACTTATTTGTGATAGCCTAATGGATCATTACCTACAGTGATTTGCACATCATAGTAATAAATAATGATAATAACATCACATTTGTATAGCAGTTTAAGATTTACAACAATGTTTTCCCCATAACGACCTGTTGAGCTGGTGGCTCGGCAGTGAATACAGGTTGCTGTCATGTCCTTTTGGAAGGACGCAACAATCCTTGGCTACCCGCAAGGCCAAATAACTCTCCTCCCAAATGGATTACACTATTAAGAATACCAATGGGACTGACTGGATGTTCTGTTGTGGAGGAGGGGTAATAATCCTAAGAGGCAGCTTAACCATGGCCAAACTCTGCAGTTACTTGCCAGGCCTTCCGGGAAGGCAGGGATTGGGTATCTTTAAAAACAGAATTCTGGCTACTCTTAAAAGGATGTTTAGAGTTACCACACTGGGCAAGCCCTTGCAAGAAAGTGGAACATCTCTGTTTTCATAGCTAAGTATACGTGTTCCACTCAGGACAGAAGCAAAAACTTTTATAAACAATTGATAGCCAGCCAAGAGGCTAACATGCAAATTTTTTTTTTAACTTTATGTTGCTTTCACCTGAGTTCAAATCCTTCTGACATTAGCTACTTACCTATGGACAAAGACTCCTCCGAATTTCTGTTTCTTCTTCTCTAAGATGGTGATAATGATACCCATAGTACCTATTTCTGAAGGTGGAAGGCTGGAAGGCTCCAATGAGAAGATGTATATAAAGCATTTGGCAAACTTTAGTGCAAATCATGAGTATTGCTATTATTATAAGCCACCTCCAGATATTCCTATAGAGCTATTACAGCTGAAAAGATATTTCTTTCTCTAATTTCTATATATATATGCTACTGTATTGCTTTCTTAGAATCAAAATGAGATTCATGTATTTTGAATAATTGTAAAATTTTATTTTATAATCAGTTAATCAAAGACCTCAAAAAGTTCAGTGCATCTTCATCAGGACATTTCACAAGGAAGAGTAAAACAAGTAAAATCACTTCCTTGGCATTCCACCTACGTAGTATTCTAGTTGTAGACTGGCCAGCTGTGACCTTAACAAATCAGCAGGAGATAAATTATGTATGAGATGTTCAGTGAAGAATCCATAAAATTGTTTATGCAAAAAGAGCCTGGTGCTGTTATGTGTAGTGAAAAAAAAATCTATAAACTTCCAAGGGTGACTTTGACTTGTAGAGGGTTTCAGTAAAAGATAGTTACTGGAAAAAATGAAAAAACCAGAACTGAGCTGAATTTCCACAAGGAAAAGTTTGATCTTGGGCGTGCCTTCTTCCCACACTCTTTCTATCTCCTCTTGTTTAATGAAACCAAGATCATTCCTTATAACCCCTCATCCTTGGCTCCCTTTGATGTCTCCCACCATCTCAGGCTATAGGAGAGAGTTGGCACACTCCTCCTCAATGCCAATTCTGTGCCCTCCCTCAGCCACCATTTTTTTTTGGTGAGGCAGTCAGGGTTAAGTGACTTGCCCAGGTCACACAGCTAGTAAGTGTCAAGTGTCCGAGGTCTTCCTGACTCCAAGGCCAGAGCTTTATCCACTGTGCCACTGAGCTACCCTATCAGCCACCGTTATTTAACCACTACTCTGTCTGTTGATTGATATAACCCTGTCCAATCCCTTGGAATTGAAATTTGGTCCTGGAGGTAAGAGAATCACTAGAACTTATCAAACCAAGAGGAGATATGGTCAGATCTATATTTTAGAAAAAAAGGAATTTGATCCTAGTCCCTTGTTCTTTCCGCCCTCAAGTCATATTCATTCCTTTCTGAAAGGAGTTCAGCACATGGGTCACAATTTTTCTTTTCACAACCAACACCTGTCCTCACATTCTGGGTCTTCACTTTTCATGTTATTGCCCAACTCAAATATCCTAGCCTCCAGTTCATCAGCCTTTTCAATTTTCAAAACCTGCATCTCTAGTCACTCACAGGAATAGCCACAGCTTACACCTCAGCACCACCTCAGACTGAACCACTTATGTGATTCTGCTCTCTGAAATTCTCCTTGTCAGTCAGGCAGTGAAGAAGCATTTATTAAGTATCTACTACATGCCAGGCACTGTGTTAAGTACTGGGAATGCAGAGGCAAAAAATAGTCTCTATCCTCAAGGAGATGACATGTAAATAGCTAGGTACAGCCATGGTATGTGTGAAGTAGGTGGCAGGTAGTCTGAAAGGGGAGGCATGAGAAGGGAGGGGAACTAGGAGAGGCTTCCTGAAAAGAGGTGGGCTTTGAGCAGAGTTTGGGAGGAAGCCAAGGAAACCAGGAGATGGAGATGAGGTAGCAGAGCATTCCAGAGATGGAATGTCATGTTCGAAGCCTGTATGCTGGATTTTCGAGTATGTGGTAAGGAATAAAAAGTGAGAATCCCAGAGAGGTAGTAAAAGGACAGGTAATAACATGCTTTAAATACCAAATAGGATTTTATATTTGGTTCTGGAGGTAAGAGAGAGTCACTGGAGCTCATGCAGGAGAGAGATGACATTTTAGGAAAAAATTTTGATCATAATTTCTTGTTCTTCCATCATTCCCTCTGCCTCATTTCTCTTAAATCTATTCTTTGTCCTCTCCATGACCACTAGTCCCACCATCCCTCCCTGTCTATTGTCTGGGTTCTAGCTTTACTTTCTTCCCATAGCTTGGCCCCCATTCTTGACCACATTGCTAGTCAATTCAATTGGACACTGTCTTCTATCAGGGATTCCTTTGCTCTATTGTCCTCTTGTTCATGCTCTCTCAATCCTTAAACTTGGGTTCGCTCTGCCATCCATCTTCTCTACTACTACTTCCAAGTGACCAGATGTCACTGGTGGCAGTCATAAAACTGCTTACTGGGTCCATGATAAAATAAGGTCATCTCATTGGAATTGAGCTTTCACTGCTGAATGGCAATGTTTTTTATTCTTCACTGATTTAGTTTATTACACTACTTGGAGTGGCTTTCCCAATCCTCTTTTCTCTTGAAGCCTCACCCCTGTCTCTCAGAAGATGATTCAACCTCTTTATTTACTGAGAAAATAAAGGCTTTCTCTCATAAGCTCTCTTCTCTCTTCAAGTCTTCATGCATCATTTCTTCTGATGCTTTATCTCAGAAGAAAATATCTCTTCTCCTTTCCTAAACTAACACTTCTACTTGAGTCCTTGTTCTTTACTCACCCGCTCTGGGAGGTAGTTCCACCCATCATTTCTGTTCCCTCTTTCATATTCAATTTCTCTACCTGCTGGTCCATCCCTGATGCCTATAAACATGCTCAGGTTTCTAATTTTGTATTGGTACTCAGACTCATTCTTCCATAGTGAAGCCAGCTATATTTCCCTGTTGGGGTCCTAAAGGTACCCCTGAGAGTCAGTGGAGTTCTGGCATATCATCTGTCCTGTTAGCCACCAGTTATTTGCACCCTAAGCTCAATTAAGATGACTTTTTTATTGTAGGATATTTACTTTAAAGATGTAGCAAGCAGAGAAATACAAGCATTTCCCCCCAACACCTGAAACATACTCTTCCCTATACTACTCTGGAGAGGTCTCTGCAGAGAGTGAATGCAAACTCAATATAGTTTTTACATTGCATTTACCCCAGTGAGTTCACTTCCCAGTTTGGCAGAACTGATGGGTGGATAAGTCTGCACATATCCGAATTTTAGACTGGGCCAGGGAGATCACTCAAGGCTTTACTTCTCACTTCCTAGGTTCCAGCAAATCCAGGCAAAGACATAGCTCCTGGACTTCTTTCTTATGGGTTAATCTTTTGACTTCTGGAAGCTCATCAATAATCTTCACCTAAAACAAGACAGAGAGGCAAAGATACATGATCCAAAGAACAGGGTCATGTATCAGCTTTGGATAAGGAGGGCCCAAGGCACTCTCTTCACATCATTAGTTCTCTTGATTGGCAGGAGAGAGAGCAAACTGAGGGCTAAGACCTGACTGATTAGTGCTTCCAGTGACATAGCCAATCAACTATCCAACTCCTTACCGTGTGGTGAGTAGACCGGAACCAGCTGTGCATGCTCCAAACTGAAGAACACATCATGCTATTCCAGAGACAGACTTTCCAGCTCATCTGTGTAAGAGATGTCACTCGGCCCCTGCACTAGGCACTTTAAAGAGAGAAACAGAAAGCTTTCATGTGTCCCTGCCATACTTTCAAAACACCACCTCCTACCTAACTTTTTTTTATGGCAATATGTTATCTAACGCCAATAAACACGTGAGATAACCCTCTCAAATATGACCATTTTACAACTGGATGTTGCAGTGGATAGAGCACTGGGTCTGGAGTCAGTAAGACCTAAATTCAAAGGCAGCCTTACACTTACTAGCTGGGTGAGCCTGGGAAAGTCATTTAACCTCTGTTTGCCTCGGCTTTCTTAGCTGTTAATCAGGGATGACAATAGCACATAACTGCCCAAGTTGTTAGGATCAAATGAAGGAATATCTGTAAAGCCCCTAGCACAGTGCCTGGCACATAGTTTTGTTGTGGTTGATTTGGTTTTCTAGCCCTGTCCTAGTCTTTGTGACTCATTTTGGGGTTTTCTTGGCAAAGGTACTAGAGCGGTTTTTTTATTTCCTTCTCCAGCTCGTTTTGTAGATGAAGAAATGGAGGCAAAGGAGGTTAAGTGACTTGCCCAGGGTCACACAGCTAGTAAGTGTCTGGGGTCAGATTTGAACTCAGGAAGATGACTCCAGACCTGGTGCTCTATCTACCATGCCACCTAGCTGCCCATCTGGCACAGAGTAGGTGCTTAATAAATGCTTCTTCCCCCTTCCCCATGATTTCATAATTCCTGAGCCCCAATGACCTTTTCCAAGTTTTAATCCTTCTTGGCTTTCCTTTAGCATTTGACCAGTCCATCCTCCTGGATACTCTATCCTCCTTTGGCTTCAGTGACACTACTTGCTTCTCTCTCCTGCCTGTCTCCGCCTCAGTTTCCTTCACTGGATCATTATGCATCACCTACCCCCTAAGCACAGGTGTCTCCAAAGCCTCCAGGCCTTCTTCTTTCTCTACATTCTCTCTGTTGGTGAGCTCATCTCTTCCTATCAGTTTGGTTATCAGCTTGATGAAAATTTCTATGTCTAGCCCTAATCTATCGCCAGAACTCCAGTCTCACATAGCTGACTGCCTGCTGATAACCGTTAATAGTTAAAGCTCAGCCTGTCTGAAACAGAATTCATCATATTCTAAAACATTTCCCCTAATAGAATTCCCTCTTTCTGCTGAGGGTACCACCATCCTCTCAATTATCCAACTTCATAACCTCAGAACCATCCTAGATTCTTTACTCTCTTTATCTTCAATATTTAATAATGTGCTGAGTCCTGTTCACTTGAACTATGCAAGAATTTTTGCACTGACCTCTTTCTGTTGCACTCCCATGCATCATCAGCTTTCACCTGGACTTTTGTTAGACCCTCCTATTTGCTCTCCCTACTTTCAGATACTTCCCACAGATGCTAAAATATCTTTCCTGAAGCATGGTTGCCAAGTCGCTCCCTCATTCAAAAATCTCCAGAGGCTTCCTATCAAACACCTCAGGCTTGCCATCCATAATCTGGCTCCAATCTACTTTTCCCACCATATTCTTGCTTCCTTTCCCCCATGTATCCTACTATGCAGCTGACTAGGAGTCCTAGCCATACTAATACCCTTCTAGCAATACATTACATTCAAATTTTCACATCTATGCTTCAGCATAAGCTGGCCCTCATGCCTGAGATGCACTCCCTCCCCCTTTCCCCAATCCAGAATCCTTCACTTCCTTCAGAATTAAGTTCAAATCTGACTTTCCTCCGAAGCCTTTATTGATTCCCCAATCACCCCCATAATTGTTGATGCTCTGTCTCTGTCTCTCCCCTCCAATTAACTTTGATGTATGTTTGTTTATCTGTTTTGAAACTGATCTCTTCAATGTCTTTGTAGTCCTAAAACCTAGCCCAGTACCTTGTACATAATAGGGGCTTAATAAATGCTTGTTGGAATGAACTAAGTTGAATTGGTCAGAAAAAGGAATCAATAGTAGGTGAGATCTGACTTGTGGAGTACATTGAAAGTTCAACAAAGGCATAATAAAGTAGGAAACCATTGAATGGATTGGAGCAGGAGAAT